TCCGCTCTTGAATGGGAACGAGTCGGCATTCTGTGTGAAAGAACTTCTTCCGGAACTCTTCCATGAGTTTCCTGGGTAATCCTCCTACGTAAGGACCCTGTCTTCTTGTCTTGTGAACGGTGGATGCGTGTGTACTGAGTAATGTGATCCATCTTTTCATGTGCATGTCTCATTTTCGCACCTTCCACAGTGAGTGCATGTATGAAATGTGTAACTCTTTTGTTGATTAGACGATTGTCCTCGGGATTTTGTTCGAGAATGCAAGAGTGTTTACATYTGTAGCTCTGTCTGTACTGCACATGCCATCTGCCTTATGCTGCACGACATCAGCAGCCGAGCCACGAGGCGGCCTCGAAAAACAAGGCGCCAAGGACCAATGTTGTGTTGAACTGATCGGTCCCTTAGTCATCTACATGATCAGGCTGATCTGTGTTTGCTCTCTCTCTCTCTCTCTTGTGTCAAAAAGATTGATTGGGGGACGCGCGAATCGCTTTTGATGACGCCTCAAAATATTTTGTGATTCATTGACATGTGGACTAACAAGTACCCTCCGATTGGGCGCCAGCCTCCCGTATCTCCCATCCCAACGTGACCTTTTCCCTACAGTGAGGAAAGGACACGTGTATGTGAGTGGGACGTACGAGAAGCCGTCGCACAAATCGGCGGGCACTATTACTTCCCTTCGGCCGATCGTTGTTCAAGGTTCGTAGACGCCGGATTTGTCATTATCGATACGCACTTTCCACCCTACTCGATATTGTTGCCGTTTAACGAGCTGATCGTCATTCCGTGGACGGCAGTGGCGCCCCATTGGCCCCGCACTCTGTGCACGGAGTGCCAACGTTTCAATCGCTACGAAGCGAAGGGTTTCCACTACCGAATACGGAGTGAGGACGAGCATAAGGAAAGAGTCACTCGGTTGAGACCATCCACGTCGGACTCGAAACTGACCAGCGAACGACGACGAGATCTGATACGAAAACGAGACACGCGAAGCGTGCCAAAGCTTTTCCGTTCTAATTGACGGGCCGTAGCCCGGTAGGAAGCCCGACAGTACTTTTTGGATTGAATTTGGATCTTTCTGTTTTCGCGCCATGACCGCGCGCACATTCCGCGACGCGCGAAATTAATCGACTTGCTACATCGGACCTACACGGAGGATTTCAGTTCCATCTGTGTCCCCACACTCAATTTCCAAAAATCCTTGGCACACCCCATCGTGCTGTTTTTCTGGGCCTCTTTCTGCCTGCCTAACACTCCGAACGGAAGATAGCACAGGGCGTGAGGTTGGCGCGTCACAGGGGCGAATCCGAGAGAAGTCGGGGGGGGATCGGGGGGAAAGCCG